GTTTCCTTCTATTTAACGGAAGGGACTCATTAGAGTCAATTAATTACAAGTAAGGATCCATTAAACTCACTTTTCTATAAAGGGACTAACTTGAGATTTCCGAACCAAAGTAGGGACAAAATTGGGTATTATGCCTTAATTTTTCTGTGAACTCAATGAGTTGATTGTTATCTTACCTTATCACTTTGTTTAGTTTTCGCCATGTGTTACTTTATAATTTTATAATCAAACTATTACAATTTTATCACCACTTTCAAAACTACAAATTTTTCTTTTTTTAACAACTCAACATCAATAAATTTCCAACCTCGCTCATATTGTTTTCACCCAAAAATTCCATCATTATTTGGGTCAATCATGAGAAAAGTCGAACATGAATGATACAATTTTCTTTAACATTCAAAACATCCAAAACACTTCGCATTCCCAATCTGGGGATGCAGTGAAAGAATTAAACCAAATTTCACACTCTACAAAACACGAAGGTGGGGTTGAACCCCGGAGTTAGTTTCGTAAATGAAAACACCCGAGACTTCAACATGATTCCTTATATAGAAGGAAAAGGTTTGGTGAGTGTTATCCTTTATTCATGAGTAAAATGACAACCGGTTGGATCGGGTGAAATACGAACAATGTCTATCCGTAATCTGACTTGATAACAGAAAAATCCATTTAATATTTGATTAAAAATTGTTCGCAGATATTTTAAAACTTATGAATATCTACAAATATTTAAAAAATGTACTTTTTATAAATTATTAAAATAAAATTTAAATAAAATTATAAAAAATATATAAAATATAGTATAAATTAAATTAAACATAAATTAAAATTTAATTTTAATTAAATTTAACTTTATAAAATATAAATTAATGTTAATTTAATTAAATTTAACTTATTAAATATAAATTAAATTTTTATTTTTTAGGGGTACTCGCACCCAACCTATCCATTTATAAGTGAGTATTAAAATATCCGTTATCTGCAACCCGCAGATAATAAATATATGTGGATATTAACTAATTGTCGCGCATATTTTATCAACTGATATTTGCGACACAAATTTTTGTGAATAGTAAATATCTGCAAGTATAACTATTCGTCGCGAATTTTATCTGCAAATATTCGTGGTGCGAATTTTTTACTATCCCTAATCATGGAGTGTACCACAAATGAAGAATTCACAGTAGTTGAAGGTAGAGTTTCATAAATGTAGTTGGAGTCTAACGAGAGATATTATAGGTTTTCCAATGTTCCCATTAAGTCAAGTATTCATCCACTAAATATGTTGTAGGAGATGTTGATGATTGGAACTGAAATTTAAATGGAAATTTGCTGAAATGTTGTTAGAAAAGGCGTTATTGGAGAAGTATATGAAATGTAGGAAGATATAAAAGTGGTCAAAATTCTTCCGATAAAAGATTGTTTACAAAATTGAGGAATTTATTAATGATGGATTGGAAAAAATGAAAAATTAAATTAATTGTAATTATGATGAAAAATATTAAATAAATAATTATTGTAAAATTACAAAAATTATAAAATAATATATGACAACAATTAAATACATAACTTAATTAATAGAAATATTAAATAGGAACGATTCAATTAAAAAGTTATATTTTTAAATACTCTATAGTTAAAAAATTATTAAAATTTATTATAAACTTAAAATCTAATTGAGCTTGAAATAAAAATTATTTTTTAACATAGGAAACAACTCATAATAGTACATGTCATGATAAGAGTGTAGTTGAGATCATGGGAACGGTGCTTACATCTCATATATATCCAATCAATTTTATTTTTAAAATATATAAAATGAAAATTAAATCAATTATTAAAATTTGATGAGAAACAAAATTGCATATTTATAAACATGTCTATTATGTAATCCAATGATCGAAACCTGAAATACAATACACATAATTTGTTTAAATGAAAGTCATTAGCAAAATGAACATACTGTAATCTACTAATAACCATTTAAAAAGGATTCTCATATTTATATTTATATTTAATCTTTAATTATATTTTTTAAATTAAAAAATTTGGAGCTCTATGCAACCATACAAAGAAAACCGTTTCACAAATCTCTGTCAATTTTGCTTGCTGAAGCGGGACTATAGATGAGGTTAGCATTTTCAACAAGTTAGAAAAATTATAACTGGAACAAAATCCAAATTAAAATAACGTGTTTATCTTGAGTTCTTAGTATTTTTATTTATTTGTTTATTATAAATATTCAATTTAGGATTTTATTAAGATAGTTAGTAAGAATACAAATTGAAAAGTAGTGCAGAGGAAGAGGGTGATGGATAAAAAAAAAACAAAAAAAGATCAGATATTTGGTGAGGCAGAGGTTGACCTGCTTGCGAAAAACACGTGGGAAAACGTTTCGGGCATTCCTTGGCACGCAACTCTCACACGCTTATTTCCTATATGAATATGTAGGAGTACGAATGTGACGCACTGCACTTGTTCTGCATCTCTGCGCTCTTTTTTTCCTCTTTCGATTCTGGTTATTCTGGTAATTAACTTTCAATTTCTACTATTTCTTTTTCTCCCTCTTTCCACCTCATCAAATTGCTTTCTTTTATCTCATTTGCTAAATGATTTTCCCTTTTCTTGTCATCTTGAATTCCTGAAGTTCTGCTAGTTGGATTTGGAGTATTTGAATTTCACCACCCATATGCGTAGATTTCTCATCCTTTTTGTTATGACTCGGTCACCACAGCAAAATGGTGTGCGATTTCTTATATTCTTTTACTGTAAGGGAAAACTAGAGAAACAAACTAAGATTACTAATTTGCTTCAGAAATGTGGGAAATGATAAATAGAAGCTTCACACGTTGATCAAAGTGGGGACTTGAGTTTGTTAGTTGCAAAATGAAGCATGGTTTGGACAATTTAGGTATGTGAGGAACACTAAGGGAGATGGTTAAAGACAATCACATATTTTGTTATTTTCTCTATGTACCATTGAGCCAAATAATGTTAACTTTTTTCGTATGTTAAATAGGATGTGTAGTGAGTTTGTTTTGTGTGTGTTATGTTTTGTTGCACCATTGACGGGTCCTCTGAAGGTTTTCTGATACATTATGCTTTCGTTTTTGGCAGTCAGAGGTATGATCAATGGCGTTTTGTGGACCAACCCCGGTTTCTGGGAGTAGCAGCTTAGCGTATTCACCTCAAAATTTGTCTGCAAAACTTATTTTACCAGTTCCGCTGCGTTTTACTGGACAGTTCTCTAATTTAGTCAGGAAAAAGAGCAGGGGAGAATGTTGCTCTTCATTAAGGAGTGCTGCATCTGCATCTTCTATGGAGTCACAGGAAGATGCTCCAAGTACATTTTCAGATTGCTTGGAGGAGGAACTAGATCATGTTATACGGTTCAAAATGTCAGACTTTAGGATTTTAGATTCAGTTAGCATTGGTCTTGGTGGGCGGGTATGAGATTTAAAATAAGTTATGATTGTCATGGATGGATTGATTTTTTAATGCTGGTCTGATTGAATTAAGTTTTCCTGTAGTCGGATGAGATGGTTTTTGAAGGCATGGTGAAGGATAGCTGTAGGTAAGTTAATTCTTTATTTGCTTCAGGTTGTACGGTTTGTTTCAATCATAACATCTGTATGTATTCATTTTCGTCCGCAGTTCTTTGTATGGCAAAAGAGTTGTACTTCGAAAGCTTTCTAGTGCCCAAGCTAAGCGTCGGGGGAAACGAGCAATAGAGGTGTGTATGTTAATCTTTTAATATTACAAATTAAACTGTTTGTAATTATATCCCATCGCAATTTATTTGCTATTGCCTTTTAGGTTTTGAAGAAGCTGGTTCGGCGTAAACTTCTGTATCATTCTTACTCAATGCAAGTTCATGGTTATATCTCTTTACCTGCAAGTGATGATAGTGATTCATTTATCTTGGTACATGGGGTAGGTATTAATCTTTGTAAGCTTTATTTTTTTAATTCTTTAATATTAATGATTCTTTCTTATTGTTAGTGATTTCTCTATTTTTCTCATCCTACCACTGTGTAAAAAAAGTTAAAACCTAATGTCCTTTTAATAATTTTTCCTTAGCAGTATCATGGCAGTTTCTCTTTGAGACACTGGCTTGAACGGTCAGATTGGCTTCCAACTTTGGAGGCCACTCTTGCACTGGATGAAGAGTCTGTTAGAAAGGTCGGAGAAGATAGAACTGGAGGTCCTGCAGTTTCTAGGCAGCTGCGACTTATTAGAATATTGATGAGGGATCTTCTTATTGGGGTATTTCCCCCTCCCTCCTTTTGTTTTTTAAAGTTCCTTGAGTATTTTCTTTGATTGAAGACAGTTTTACTTTTTAAGTACTTTATATATTCTACGTAGAAATAGGAGAAATGATATTCTCTTTTATTGTTTATTTAAATTAGGTAAATTACCTGCACAGCCACGGTCTTGCCCATACAGAGCTGACACTGGAAAATGTTCATATAAGTCCAGTAGACAGACATATCAAAGTGAGCATTGTCATTCTCTTAAAAAATTAGAACTATGACATTATTTCTTCATTCATTTTCTGTCTTAGCTGTGGATTATATTTGCTATTTGACTGATCCTAGAGGTGGTTTTATGCATTTATTGTGCTGTAAACTCATAGCAAAGACAACCTATAATTTTTATTTTGTTCCTGGTTTAAAAATTATTGTGATTCTAAATGGAATGTCTATACTAATAATGTTAATATATAAAGGAAATGCAGTTTTTCTTAACTGGTTTTAGTGTGCACATTTTTTGTACATTTCACCCTTACTCCCCGAACATTTTGGTGTCTGAGTTTTTTTTATGAAAACTGCTGGATCAACTGTTATTTTAATTTTGATCACTGTAAAAAAAAGTGTACAGAAGAATGGGCTTACTGGTGATTTCCAGAGGGCTAATAGTTCTTATGTATGCAATCCAAGTTACTGCAAATCGATAATGGTGTTTCTTGATGTAGAATCTCTTCAATCTTTCCACATGGCTGGCTTAACCTCGTGTGTTACTTAACAGGTAGGCATATTGGGTAATGCTGCTGACTTTTACAAGGATGGTTCGAAAGATAGCTCTTTGGACAACTTGGACAGGCGAGAAATGATGATTGCATTTGACATGAGGTTTGCCCTTTAATTTTTCAGAAAATTATGTCTGGAACTAAATAATGTTGTGATACCTGGTTATCTCTGTTGTAAAGATGTGTGGGCTTCATAATGGCTAAAATGGTAATGCGGGAACTTATGGATCCTTCGGTTTTTGCAAAGTTCAAATCGTTCCTCATAAAGGTATGATAAGCTTTTTTTTATTCAATTTTGATCTCTTGAATGTTTAAAAATAACCTGAGCTTTTTTTGAAGGAAAAAAACTAGTTGGTCAAATGCTTTAGACTACAAGTGCCCAACAATGCTTCATGTCTGTAATACGTCCCCCTCATATGAACTAAGACCTAGATAATTTGTTCTCTTTTCCTCTTTTCTGGAAGCTTTTTACACACATTTACTGATAGCGGGATGAAAATTTAAAGATTTAGCAGTTGCTGGCATTAGTAGTCATTTTTAAAAAAAAAAATTAATGGTTAAATAACCTGATTCTGTGCAGATCACTCAGGAAAGATTAGTCATGGGCTATTGTAGGGTTATACTCGTCTTCAATTAAGCAGTGTGTTTATATATCTAGTCTTCATAGTAAGATGTTGTTGGACTTACGTCATCTGTTTACTCTAAATCAATATAGAAATATTTTACCATATTCTTTATTCATGTTAACTAATTTTTCAGTTCTGTTCGTCTTTTTGTCACTTTGTTTATGATACCTGATGCATCAAATGTTTTATTTTTGCTTATTCTTATCTTGATGAAGGGGTCCTATGATGTGAACTTTCTAATGATAACTCATGTCCCACCTTCAGGGGTATGATCCTTCATGTCTACGAGAGCTTATGTTGGAAATCCTTGGCAGAAGTTCCCCATATGGAAATACTGGATTACAAGTAAGTGTATTCTTATTGAAAGTTTCTTGATATTTTGTGCTACATTCTTTTTCAAATCTTTTGACGCCTTTCTAATTTCTTGCGATACTTGATAGGAACTGGGGAGCTGGCTGGCACCTTTTATCTTTATTGCTTGCAACAAACCTTCTCAAGAGATAAGGTATGCTGTGAGCAAAATATGCCAGTTGAAAGTGTGCATAATTTCTTCACCAATGCTCCTATATTTGGCTGATATTATGTCTTGAACATATGTCAAGATTTTAGAAAGAAAAAACTTTAGTGACATGAAGGAATTTCAGAAATAAAAATAGTCGTAGAGAAAAGTTTCAAGTTTCATTAGTATTTTAGGAGGCTTAATCTTTTGGCAACAAGTAGCTAGTTTCTCAGGCTACTGTGCAAACTTAATATAATAAAATTTGATTTCAAATACCACTTTGATTTACCCGAGTTTAGGAGTTATACTAGTTTTAACCATGTAAACATTTATACAGTTGTTTGGATGCCCTTAGACACCCATTTCTATGTGGGCCAAGATGGCGAGTTGTCTCATCAGGAATTATCAGATGGGGTCTAGGTTCTACTGCAGTGCGTATTACAGAGGAGTACATTTATCGCAAGCCTCAGGTATTCATCTAACGGTGCCCCTTACATGCAATATATCCCATGTTGCCTTTTGAGTTCTAGATACTTCATAAGAGTTTTTTATATTTATGGTGTCTGATGTCCTCAAGTTTGTTCTTACTAATGTTGCTTTTCATGATTTATATACTGTGCTTTATCTCTTGATGATAAAACGTAATATAAATCAAATTACATTACTTATATGAGTAAGATATGTACTACAAGTTTGACTGATGGGCGTTTTCTGTGTTTTAGCGCAGCAGGCTTGCCCATTTCATTGACTTAATGGAGATGTTGAATCCCCATCCAAAACCAAAGGTAATTAGTGATTAAAGTATGTATATTTTCTTGATAGTGTTTGTTGTACTATATTTTCTTAATAGTTCCACTTTTTTCATCACTAATATTAAGTATTAATGCCAAAAAATCTCAGCCATTCACCTGCACTTTTGCACCATTATTGAAGTTACAAGGAAATCTCACATAGATAGAAATGAAAGTTAAGAAACATGTAAGTGGGAAATACTAATGTACTTAAGCCTTATGGTAAGGTTTTGGATTGGATTTGATATAACCTTCAAAGTCATAGTTTCTTGTGGCTATTGATGGAAAACCGCGGTGAAGTGCTACAGTAGAAAGTGGTGTCTTAAGCCATGAATGTCTGTTCCAACTTCTTGCCATAGACACGTCCATTATAAAAAAGAAACATATAAGCATAATTAACTCTCACTATTTGGTATCACATAGTATTTATATTGGTTGTGTGGGGGGTGAATATAAACATGATCTTAAAACTGGATGTGATTTATTTTCGAAAGAAGAAGAAAGTTTATTGCTTATGCTAACTTGTGTCCCTATTGATGTATGCAGAACTGGCTGGACCTGCTTCCAGGCAAATGGCGTCTATTATACTGCACTGGGAAGCATGTTGGCCTGACCCTTCGCGAACCACCTCTCCGTGTACTTGTTGCGCACGTGCATTTAACAGTGACGAGAATCAAAGTTGAAAGCTAATCTTTCATTTGACTCTGACATTGGATTCTCTGTTATGATTGGTCAAGACTGGCCTCTTGACAAAGCTGGTAAGAGTGGAAGATTGAGGGTTGAATTCTTCATTTACACTAAGAGCTGGGAGACGGCTATATCTGAATCAAGACGAGACCACTGAGAAATTCTTCTTTGGCCCTTCCAGCAACGTGGATGCTTTAGCCCAGAAATTTAGGGCAAGAAATGGAGTAAATAATCCCTTTCAAGGAGTTTCCGTCAAGTCTTCCGGCAGCCAAACTTGCATCAGGTGATATTGATGTAACAATGAATATTGACGATCCATTAAATCAAAACACTGATACTGCAAAAAGTGTTCTTCAAGAGCTAAGAACACAAATTCCCCCGGAAGTGTTTGATTTGTCTAAGCTTGTGTGTGGAACCTATGTGGATTCAAGGATGCTTGTCCTACGAGGGGTTAATGGATCCGCGCTCCTATTTACAAGGTCTTTTATGGACAGAAACAGTTGTAGTTAGTTGTTGCTGTAGCAGATTCAAAATTATTGTTTAAGTGTATATTTTTCCTTGTCGATTGTATAGTTTGGTCCATTCTGATCTCAAATGAACATTTTCCTCCCACCCCAAGAAGTAGTCATCCCTCCTCATGTTCGATAATTAAATGTAAAATTTGTATCTTTTCAAGTAGTAGTTGTTCTTGGCAAATACCGTTAGTTAAAAGCACCTTGGAGGGGTGGGCGGAGAATGTAAAGATTTTTTATGATCCTTTTCAACCTGATATATAGAAAAGAATAGGACAATGATATGGTAACACAATTTTTTTTGACATTTTGATATAGTAAATGTATTATTTTTTGCATTGGATTTAGAGTATATTAATATGGTAATAAATAAATAATAAACTACTAAGAAAATAACAAGTGTGCTCTATTAAAATGTTGTCAACAAAAATTGTTCAAAATATATTTTTCCTATATAATATTGATCATTGAGGATAAGAATTACATTTAGAGACAGTCAAACCAGAGTAACAATCAGTTTAAAATGATATATTTACCACGTGTATGAGTTCTTGATGTACTAAATATAGCATTTATTAAGACCCCGATGCAGTTGTTAAATCCTGAGCATGTTATCTAAACTAATGATTACAAATATATAAAAGAAATTTAGTGGCACATTAGGGGCATGGAGATGAAACAGAAATATATGAAACTATTGATAGAGCACTAAAGAATACGCCACTCCTTATTGTTACGGACTTGCGTAGATAATTTCCAATTTTTTTCACAAACACTTATAAAACAAAATAAAACATCTAATTCCAATTTCCATTCCTGATATTTCCTTGACTTACCTGTGAAAATTTTAATACAATTATTCCGCATAATTTAGAGCAAAACTAGTACTTATTTACGATGATATCGATCATGAAAAATACTTCTAAAATCAACAACGGTGTCCATTTTTCTAAAGATTTTATATTTATGAAAATAAAAATCAATAATGATTTTGAAAAGTCTTCAAATAAAAATCAAGTGAAAACAAATGTATGAACTGAGTGCCATTAAAAAAAATTGAAAAAAACCATATTGAAGTTATCATTAAATGTCAATAAAAAAATTGTTTAGTTTATAGTGTTAGAGACAGAAACTCCAAGTTGGCCCTCCAGCGTTGCTCACGGAATTAATATTAGAGAACTAAAAGGAAAAAAGAAAAATAAAAAGCATAAGTAACAGAAAAGTGGGAAGAAAAGAAAGTAGAAAAAATGGTTAGAAAAAAAACAAGTGTGAAGTGAATTGTGTTAGTTGAATGAGACAGATCCATCTTAGTATGACTTTGTGATTCAGAGAAAGGGAGTGTGGTCCTCCAACGATGACCAGGAAGAACCAAAGCTTCACGATTATGGCAGCTCAGTTATTGCATAAGCATTATTAACAAGGTAAATTCTTCCAACTTCATCTTCGTCTTTTTTTCTTTTCAATTTATCTCATAATCAAACCCATAGTACCTCCTAGCTTTAACTATTGATTGCTGTATCAATTTACTTTACGATTATTATTATGGTTGGATCGTCTCAAACTTGTTAATTGATGCTTCATGTTGTACCCTCTTTCATTCACGGCTTTACAATAGTTAGGGTTCTAAAACACCATGATAATAGTGAAAAGAAAAACTCCTTAACTTAGATTATAATTTGTAATCGCACTCTCTTATATATTTATTTACTAAGTATTTGCTTATGTTTGTTTGACACTCTTCTTAAAAGTTCATTAATTTGATATTCCTTTTTAATAATATAATAATATGTATTATATTTTTAATACTAGGTGAGCGTACGAACTCTCGGACAACTTTTTCTTTAAGTTATTTTATGCTATAGTAATGTTTAGAGGAGCTATTTAAATAAAAATCAATATAAGTAAATATGGAAAAAATGGTTAGAATAAACAGTAATTTCACCCTTTAAGTATCTCTCTTAAATAACTCTTAAATTAATAAAATTATATAAATAATTCCATAATTAGTATCTTCTCAATTAATATATTCTAATCAAGTGTAAGATATAGTTGAAAGACTTTCTAAAATTTGAGAAGAAGTCTTAATGTATTTTAATTTCATTTTTTTTACTTCAAAATCACTTCAGAGAAAAACTTTCATGGACATGGACGAAATTTATTCAAGGCATTTGCACTAACCTATCTAACAATTTAAACTTTTTAAATTGAATTCAAGTCCTTTTACTCACATTTCTCATTTCCTAAATAAAGAGTAAGGGATACATTTTATACATTTAAATTACACACTCTCATTTCATATAAAATACTAATTTTATAAGGGGAACATCATAGAAGGAAAAAACATTTTTCTTTTAAATCAATTGTCCATCATTTTCATGCACAACACTTTTTTATTAGCATTTTTCGATACAATTATATTGGAAGAACATAAAAATGTACACGAAGGAAAAAAAATGGTTAACTTTGAATTGAGAAAAAAATAAGTAATAAAGGGTTATACATTTACAGAGATGCCAAGAGCCAAAAGCTATGAAATCTAGCTTTTATTAGAGTTCCATGAATGTCCAAAGAAAACCAAGAGTAAAAGGAAAACACTGAACTATGCCTTTTTTTCTCCCTATGTTTTTTTTTCTCTTCTTTTTGGTTTGATAAAAATTACAGCTTTGGTGTAACTGTGAGATTCCCTGCACAATAGGGGGGGATGGGGTTAGTGCTCCTTGCGGAGAAGAAACAATACTTGTCATCTGATATTCATTTCATTTGTATAATCCTTCTTAATTCATGAATTTCCGGCAGTTTGGAGCTTTACATAGGCAGGGGACTTTGAATTCATCTGGCTCATCAGGATCAAACAGGTAGTCATACCTGCTCAAACCAAAACAATCAGCATCAACTACAAAGAACATACAAATGCACCTTATAACAAGGTACATGCATACATACACACACAGAAAAGGGAGAGACATACGTTAACTCATCGCCGGCCGACACGATAGTCTTGGCAATGAGAACAATCCGGCTCTCATCGTCACCGACACTCATGATTCTTGCATAGCAATTTGGCATACACTGTAGGAACATGAACAAGAGAACAGATCAGATGAGTATCCAGTATTGAGAATCAGAGAAAAATGATGTGCATAAAATGTCAATTCAAGATAGGTTGACTCACAGAATGATTAATCAGCCGTGCTATATTTCCTTTGTCAGTGGCATCTACTACCACTTCTTCACTTATCTTAAACAGCTGCCAATACAAGAGTAGGGTATTTTAGTGTAACAACACAACCATGTCAATAATATGATGAGCAGTGTGATTGTATTAATAGGAGAATTAACTCACATAACAATCTTTGCCTTCTAATCTATAGCGTGCCTCCCTCAAATCTGCAATGCTGCGCCTCACTTGTTCGCCACGATACTCAAGTACCTGCTTAAGATTAAAATCATGCTCACTATTGCAACAGATAAAGGTTGTACATGGAAAGCTCAGAAAACATAAAGGATCTAAGGGCAACCATTTTATGTATCTGCTAATGTTAGAATCATAACAAAAGCAAGGGATGATATATTCTGCAAACATCTGGAGCAGGAACCGACCCAGAAAATCTCAGGACCAAACCAACCACAAGAGAAGAAAAAGGTAAAGGACATGGTAATTAAACTTTGTCCGCTTTGCATGGTTTAGAAAATGCTTCATGAGCCTGTGTGTTTGCATTCAAAAGCAAGCCGACAGATACCATGGCATATTATATGCTTTATAAAGTTCTACAGTATGAAATTACTTAAGAAAATCAAAGATTGTCAAAGGTTCGTTTAGTTTTAGCAAACATTTTGTTTCCATTTCTCGTTTTAAAAATAATTACAAAAAAGTCAACAGCATCACTATATTGTGTACAAAATTATGAAAATAGAAAAAACAAAGAGGAACTTTTATATTTACTTATGAAATAGAATGTTTCCTAAAATCAAACAGGCCTAAGATATTAAGTTGAAATGAATCGCTATACTATATTCTTCACTATATGTCAATACTAGTTGACAGTTCCAAAGAAAACAGCTCTGGAAATGGGTATTCTTTGCAGGACAGGACTAGGTTGCAATAGAGTAAAACATATGTTATGGTAAAACCGAGTGACATTTGCCACATTATGTTAGGTTTCTGTAATCAAAAACCTAATTCCCCTCTCTCTCAAATCACAACATGAACACAAAGCAGAAGAATGAATGAAACATATTGATTTATTTGCACATTAACAGTATCGAAAGTCAATGTACAAGTATGGATGTAAGTATGGGTAACTACGGGAGCCTAATACCTCTCCTCAGGCCAATGCCCTGACTGTACGAGTAAAATATGACCTAACCTAAAAGACTGACCGTTATTCTATTTATAATAGGTTCCTCCCACAACTGTTCGACATTCGCCTCATGCTCCCACTGCATGTGGCCGCTTGATCCCTACTGCCTGTAGCCGTTCGGCTCCTTCTCCATCACTCTTAACCGTTCGGTTCTGTCCTCCCTCATATACTAGCCGTTCGGCTCCTTCCCCATCACCTTTAACCTCTCGATTCTTTCCTCTCTCATATACTAACCGTTCGGCTCCTTCACCATCACCCTTAGCCGTTCGGTTCTTTCCTCTCATATACTTTCCAGCCCCTATCATATTAGCAAGTGGCTATTTCTGTTGCATAAACTTGAGTGTACTCCCACAATCAGTGGTTTTATTCTATAATTCTATTAAGTTGTAATGATGGTTTTATGAAAGGCTACCCATTTATGCGCTTCTTGGTTTGAACCAAAGAATAGAATTGAATATATCCAATTGCTAAAGTAGTCCAACACCTTATGGATCTTCATAATACTAGTAAAAATATATATGATTGATAAACACAAACAAGCAGGTTAGGGTTCTTTATAATGGTGTCATACTTGAGCATGAAATTCATACCATTTCTCCTTCTTGAATATTTCTACGTGCGAAGAGGCCCCATCCATGTATGCCCGATCTACCAAAGCAAACCCGTTCATTTTCGG